TCACGCTCGTTGTTTGATGACTAGGGATGAAGCTATTGCGGCTTTAGTGGTATATTGTTATATGTCCCTTATGTATATTATTGCTATTTAATATATAAAGTAACTAACGTTTACATTTTTATCATTTTAGGGTGATGCACTTGATAGAGTGCACTACTTGAGCAATGATGGGTAGGACTCCTTTATCTTTGATGAATTAAAGGACTTGTCTGAGACTATGTTGTCACTAAAAAAGGAACAAGATCAGATATTAGAGCATGTTTTATCTTCAGATCCTTCAATGCAGAGTAGTAATCCTGTAGATCCAAACTTATACATACACTAGCTGAGACAACGAAGAGAGGGAAGAGATTTGGGACGTCAACGAAGACAAATGCAGGTAATAGAGTGACACGTGCTGACTATGCTAGAGCACCCTGATGGTGTATTCCCTATACCATCATAGATCTCTTTTCACCCATCTCATATGACATCTGCCCCCACTTATTTCCATTCATCGAAGGACATCCAACAACAAACACAACCCCTTACTTCACCATTTATAGGATTAGAAGATTACAATCCACGACCTGATTTTTTTATGACACTCCCTCACGAGCACCATTCTCTTTTGACTCAAGGTGCCCTATACCTTTACCCTGAGCCTATACCATCATTCATGCATCCCATTAAGTTGGGTATTGATTTGAATGCCGACTTCGGTGCTGCTGCAGATGTAGGAGAGGTTCGTTGGAACCCCCATCGAGGAGCTTGAGATAGATCGAGACAATGCATCTTGACTTCATTAGATCATGATCATCAAGCACATAGGGGAGTAGTAATGACTTTTTTATATGTAGTTTTTTATTTGACATTTTAGTTTTTAATGACATGTATGGATTTTCTAGTTACAAACTTCTTTATTTTAATAGATATGGTATGAGTAATATGTCCTTTATGTTTGTTTTAATTAGGGTATTTATTTCCTCTACACTCATTGTATTCACAGTAAATAACATTTTCATTAAAAATAAAAATATGCCAACTAGTACATAAAATTTCTACCAACTATTACATGGTTATAACAGTTGCATTTAAAATTTAAACACTTCAAATGGGTCAACATTTACTACCTCTAAACTACAAGGCCCAAAACTTATCTTACAATTAACTAACATGATTTATTGAGGACAATGGCGTCAGTTATGACCAACTTCATTATATTTCATACACCTTTATTTTGCCGCCCTTTATCTCTTGCTCTTTCATCATCAGGCACTAACTTTCATTCACTATTTGTAAGGATGTTACATTCATTCCTAAGAGGGCACCATTGTGGAGAATATGCATTTACAAAATACTGCATTGAATAAACTGGGTCAATATATTGCCAAAAATCAGTACTCACAGCTATACATGCAGCTATCACATGCGAGCAAAGAAATCGATAGGATTGAAATCTTCAACGATTTTTTAACCTCAAAACTTGTTCTTTGTATGTCATACCGACAAATTTGGTGTAACGAAACTTCTTGTTAATTTTTTTGAATTTGCATCATTACTTTACGACAAAACATACTTCCATGTTAAGGTCAAACATAGCCTCTTCTCCATGCTTAACAAAATATTCAATCAAACGTCCATGCATGGCTTTTACCAATGCATTTATGGGTAGGTTTCTAGCACCTTTCAAAATCTTATTAATTTCTTATGAAAGATTTGTAGTCATATGTCCATAATGTCGCCCATCTTCATCATAAGACAATGCCCATTTCTCCTTTGATATGCAATTAATCCACTTTTGTATATCTTTAGATTCATTACGAAATCAAATTAACTTTTGCTAAAAAATTACTTTCGATGGTGTATAACCTAGAATTACAAAATTAAAAACATTACTACTATGTGCCTTAACATTCAATTATGCCTAATAATATAAATGCTACGTAAAATAACAATACATACCTAATCTGATGAGGTCTTTTTCAACGATGTATTTTTAAATCAGTGATTGAAGTTGCTAGCAATATGACAAATGTAATATACATGATACGCATTTATAGGTTACTACCCAATGTGTGGATTTGACACTGCCCTTTTATATTTTGATGGCGATTTGATTTCAAACAAATTCCTGATTTATCGGTAACATGCAAACAAATCATTGCCAAAAACCATTCCTAGGTTGACAAAGTTTCTCCTTCAATAATTGCAAAGCTATTGGAAGGTTACAATTGTTTCCATCTTAAGTTGTTACAATGAGCAATGTGTGACGATAGTTATCATATAAGAATGTCCCATCTACTTGCAATATAGGTTTATAGAATTTAAAAGCTTCGTGACATTGTTTAATGATCAAAACAATCGTTAAAATACTCTAAACCTGTTATCCACTTGATGACTAACTACATACTCTTTCATTTCAATTTTATAAATAGATCTAGGAGCATGTAATTGCATGTATTCTAATTAACGTTTCAAGGTAACGCATGATTCATCCCACTCACCAAAAACTTTAACAATTGCTTTTTGCTTCACCTTCCAAGCTTTTTTATATATAATTTTGTTTCCAAACTGAGAACTTATTTGCTCTTGTATCAATGAAATATTTACCGATATTTATTTGTTTACCATGCCTACATAAAATTAAATTGATTTAGTTACAAACAATATAATCATATACATAATAAAATATAAAATTATTAACATATGTAAAACATTTGTCTTATCAAAAATGCATGAACAAATTAAATTTGAATTTAACTTTTGATGATTTTGAAAAATTCTAAGATTGACACATGTATGAAATCACTTTACCTAGTAATTTTTCACTTGTTTGAATTCTTCAACAATGCAGCCCTCACTCTCTATAGACAACTAGAGATATGATTCAAGAATTTCACATATAAACATATTGGTTTAGACTCAGCCACAAAATAACTTTGATGAATATTCATTGTGTAATATTTTAATGCATGATTTAATTAATTCTTGAAAATGTTCTTCATTCATCTCTTGATCAAGATATTCCCAATTAATATACTTATATTGTGGAGTTACATTCCAAAAAAGAAATACAGTCTCTCTTGCATTGTATTTTGCAAACATATTTAACATTAATATTAACATAATTAATTAAAACAAAAAATTTAAACATTATTTCATATTACCTCCTATTATTTCTTCTTCTTTTATATTTAAGTTGGAATCAAACTTGCCTATAACATCAGGAGAAGAAGAACTATCTAATGAAATTTTTCCTTCATCATCTCCATCACTATAACTATCATAATCTGAGTCTTGATTATCTTGATCAACATCATTCTTAATTTCTTTATTGCAATAAATTTATAACTTTTAATTATAACAAATATATATATTAATAAAATAATTTAATTTCTAAAGTATTTAATATTACTTTGATAGTAATCATGACTCATAAAATTGTCATCATTTTGATATAAAAGTGATAAATTTAAATTTATAATCTACGATAGCACTGATGAACTTCCACCAACAACAATATCCACATACAACTTAATAACATTTTTACTAGCTAGTTGAAATGCACTTATCATGCAATCAATACCTTCATTATCACATATATCTAAAACTATATACTGTCTAATATTTTCATCAATTTAAAAAATATAAAATTAATCTAGAAACAACTTGATTATGATCAAGATTAAGTTTTAAATGAATTTTTCTTTTAAAGGCTTTAAAACTTATTCCTCGCTTTATTGAATAGTTTTCTTGCTTCTTTCAAAATTCACTCCTTCATTGTTTTCATAGATTCTACCATTTCAATTTATAATAATAACAATTTCACTCATCTTGCATTTTTACAAATAAAAATTATTTAATATTTAATTTTTTCTAAAATAAAATTTAGAAAAAAAATCATTAATTAATTAATTAATTAATTTAATTGAAAATAAATTAACAATAACTAAATTCATATTTAAAAAAAAATAATAAATCAAGAATTTATTTTTAAATTTATAATATTTAAATAAAAAAGGTTGGGATGTTACTCTAGTAAGTTTAGTACATTAATTCTTTCTTATAAATTCTATTATGATGGAACACAGACCAATATATATAGCGAGGTCGAAAATTGTTCATTCCGAGAAAAGCGACCTTTTATTGTTGTTAGATTTCTTAGTAAAAATCCGTTGTTGAAAAAGGAAAGGGAGTTCACCAATTGTACACGTCAGCATGTGTTGTCTAACTCTTAAGAGATAAAATTTTATCCTAATCAATCATTTAAGAACAACTACTTTTTGGCAGCCGAAATACCAATAATAAAAAACTGAATTAAATTATTTGATTGTAAATACATCGATTTTAAGGTTTGAATAATTGTTTATTTTGTCTATTAATTTATTATTTTAATTATTTTCATTTTTATTTTCTATCTATTATTATATACTGTAAAATAATAAGAGATTAAAAAAAGGATAAAAACTGAAAACAAAATATAAGACTAAAAATAATAGAGAGAATATGAGCAAAAAACATTGGACCTTTGTCCTTTTATTTCATAAGAAAAGAGATTATATAAAAAAAGTAAAGTAAAAAAGACAGAAACTCAAAAATCATTTAAAATCAATTTTAATGATGGAGGATTGTTAATTGAGTATTTAAAAATTACATATATGCATTATTTATATCTGGTAAATTAAAAAAAGTCAGAAATTTGTAATTCTTAAAAAGAATAATATATTTTACTGTATATTTGAGAGAATATTTTATATTTTTTAAATTAATGGTTATATTATTTAAAATAAATATTAATTTTATAATATATTAATATATTTGATATAAAATTACTGATAATAATAGATATATAATGTGATCTAAATTTATAATTACTCTGTAAAAAATTGACAACAATAAAATGTTAGTGTGTGAGAGGATGTGAGGATGACGTGGTTCTTCTTCCTGTTAAAATGCGTCGTCTGCCACATTTATAGCGGTCCAACGTAGGTCCCACTTTCCCTTTCCGGTTATCTCCTTACGGCATGTTTGGCAACAATATAAACTGAATCAACAAAATAATTGGAAACGGAGCATAAACAACACAACACGTCTCCTCTTAATTGGGCGAAGGCATTGCATGATTTAGAAGCGGAAGGGGGTGATGGAGTGGGTGGCGAATCGGTGGACGGGGGTGGCCGCAGCGATATGGATCCAGTGGAGCTGCGGTGCATCGTACACCTTCAGCATCTACTCCCCTGTGCTCAAGTCCACGCAAGGCTACGATCAATCCACTCTCGACACCGTCTCTGTCTTCAAAGACATTGGTGCCAACTTCGGCGTCCTCTCGGGGCTCCTTTACTCCGCCGTTACCCCTTACAACCCCCCTGCCGGCGTCCCCGGCTCGCCGTCTAAGTCTAAATGGGCCTCTCTTGGTGGGCCCTGGGTGGTCGTCGCCGTTGGGGCCGTCCAGTGCTTTGTGGGCTTCATCTTCATATGGGCCTCCGTCGTGGGCCTGATTAGCCCGCCGCCTGTGCCCGTTATGTGCTTTTTCGCGTGGCTCGCCTCTAACGGTCAGACCTTCTTGAACACCACGAATGTCGTTACCGGTTTGCGCAATTTTCCCCAGTATAGCGGTACCATCATTGGCATCATGAAGGTCTGTATAAAAGGGTTAGAATGTTAGATTGATAATTTTGTTCCTAGCCATTATTTTTCATTTTCGTCTAATGCCAAAAAAAGGTTACATATTTTTTAAGGTAAAAAGATTCCTACATTTTAATTCCTACTAGAGTAAAAAACATTTGCAAGCTTATTGTTTGTTGGAGTTAAAATTACCTTAATTTAGCGGAGCTATAGGGATTAAAATGTGTAATTAAAAAAAAAAAAACTAAAACATGTACAGTGTATTTAATAACACAAATTTATAGTTTATTTATTTTTATTAGTAAGTTAGTAGAATTGTTTGGTAGAAAAAAAAATGTATTAACTTTTAAAAACTTGCTTATTAAAACTACTCCAATTATCATTCAACTTATTATAAACAAGCTATAAGTATATATGACCTTAAATTTTGCTGAATTGTCTTTGAGAGATTAAAATGTGTAATTTTTAGTGTAAATTTTTTAAAAACTGAAACGAAAAATAATGTAAGGATATGTACTGAAATTTTCATTTAATCTAACAAATTCAGTAAAATCTTAAACTGTTGTAGCTTTGAAAAATGGTAGATATCAATTTTTAAATACTATTTTATGTGTGTTTTTCTGTGTTTTTTATTTAAGGACTAAACAAGAAAATGATGTTAGATATAGGTGTTAGTTATACTGTTAGATGTAGGTGTTAGTTGTAATTCTTTCTCATATTTTTTATTTCAAAATTACCACCTTCCTATGATCTTGAATTTCAAGAATCTCATATAATTAGGATGTTAAAGATGATTTACTTGATCCAAAGTCTTGGTGTGTTTCTTTGATAGTTTTGATCTTTTAGGATTTTTTTTAATTCTTCTTTCTTTCTTACTTTAGTCTCTCTCTGCTAACGAGTGTGTGTTTTTTTCTAATTATTCTTATATTGGTAATCCCTCTTTTATATTTCTAATAGAAGAGGTGAGAATCTTTTCTTTTATTTGAATTCATAATTATATTCTCATTGATTCTATCTTTTAAAATTAACAACTATCACATTAAATTCTATAACTATAATTAGACCATAAGTTACATAGGCTATTTAATAATTTGTTAAAAGAACCACAAATTTCAGTGTGTATTAACTTAACTCAACGAGTTGATCGCTTCTTATGGTTGAATTCCTTGACATATGGTTAGTTTGTTTTCTTTTAATACAATTCACATAAACATCTTAGTCAGTAAATCCAATTGAGATGAAATTTCATTTTTTGTTAACCTCAACATCTTTTCTTTAGATATATAAACTAGCTTTTGATGTCACAAGAAAGCACGATATTCATTAAGTACATTTATCTTACTATTTACACCATGATCAACATGAAATAAAGATTCAACAAATTCAACATTATGATTGGAATGATATAAAACATCAATTAAAGTATCAGAACCAAAATAATACATGTGTTTATATAAAGAAAATACACTATTACCAATCTTAAAGTTAAATCCAACATCATCCAATTTTGTAACAAAAACTAAATTCCTAACACATATAGGAACATAAAGATACTTAGCTGGATCTATATAATAACTAGTGTGTCTAAGATCAATCTATAAGTTTCAATTCTTTCTATGCGTGTCTTCATTCTGTTTTCTATGTATTAAGAACTTTTTAGATCTGTTTATGGGTTGGATCGAAAAAAATCCATGCATTGTATATGACACATGAGTAGTTACACCAAAATCTAACCACTGATATGATTGGATACTTCAATGAGATTTGATTCAAAATATATTAAAATATAGTATTTACCTTTCTTTTCAAACCAACTCTTTTTCTTTTCGGACAATCCTTTATGAAGTGACCAGCTTTTTTGCAGAAAAAGCATTTCTGGTCTTGGATTTAGCCTTTACGAACCTTCAGTAAGATTTTATTCTTCTCATCCTTTTTACTTACTTTAGTCTTACTATTACTAGCCCTTTTATGAAATGTGAGATAGACAAAGTAATTTTTTATTTTCTTCAGCCTCTCTTTCTCTTGAACCAATATGTCCTTGATTTCCTACAAGTTCCATTTCTCTTTATGAATGTTATAATTCACTTAAAATTGACCAAACTCGAGAAAATGAGTTCATAATAAACTATGCCAGAAAGAATTCACTAACTTCCATATCCATTGATTACTACTTGTTGCTTGATTAACCATTCCAGTCACATGATCATAAATAAACTGTAACCAAGTAAACTTTTTAGTAGCTAACTCACTTAAGATGGTGCTTGAGACAGACTTGTTAGTAATATTCGACTGTGAAAATTCTTTTATCTTTGTCATAAATTTCCTTACATTGCCAGTCTTTGGCATTAATCACTTTACATTTTCAGCTATAGTCATTTTCAACAAACTCAAGCTAAGCCTATTAGACTTTTCCCAAGTCTTATATAGAGACTTTTCTTTCTCCGTACTGGTCTCAGTAATAACTGTAGGTTTTTCATCCATTATGATTACTAAGACTAAATCTATAACACTTACTTGGAATTGAACTTACTTGAACCAATCCACATAACTCAGTCCATTGAATTTGACAATGTCATTGCCTAAACCAAACATGTTCATAGAAAATGCAAAATGTTATACATACATAAACATTAATGCTTTGAATATATTTAATATATTCAAACAATTACTAATTTTAATTATGCATTTAAGTTCACTTTTGAAAAATACCTAAATTCGTAATATAATGTATAATGATACTAAAACAAACATGCCTTAATAGACAATCAATCACACTTAAGTCAACATGCATGTTATCTTTGAATATACAAACATATTATCAAGAGTCAATATATCTCTTTAATGTTATTAATTATAAGCAATGATTCATTTTTGGGTGATACTCCTAGTGTTATAACTAATGATCTTAATTGTTTATCCTAAATTTTTATATCATTTAATAGCATTATATAAAATTTGAACAATTTAAAATATACAATTAGATGCTTAATAACCTTAAAAGTTAGGTCACTTTAGGGACTAACAAACTGCCTTACATAAACATTAAATTGTGAACTATTCAATATAATCATACAATTCAGACTTCAAACTCATAGATTTAATAACTTTGGCGATTAAAATCTTTTCTAATATAATTCCAAATCAATTGATAAAATCACTACAAACTACACTGGATATTATGACTCGCTACAAAGCACAGGCATGCTGATCTTTATGTAGGTGTAGGTGTTAGTTGTAATTTTCTCTTTTATGTTTTTTATTTAAAAATTATCACCTTTTTCAATGATCTTGAATTTCATGAATCTCACACAATTAAGATGTTGAGAAAACTTACTCGGATTTATAGTCTTAGTGTGTTCTTTTGATAGCCTTATCTCTTAAGATTTTCCATAACTGTTTCTTCTTTCTTTAGTCTTTCTCTAATGATAGAGAAAAGTTAATAAGAGTATGTTCTTTTCTAGTTATCTCTAATTTTTATATTAGCAATTTTATATTCTGAAAGGAAGAGGGGAGGGTTTTTTCTTTTATTTGAATTTATAATTATATCTTTACTGATTTTATCTTTTATATTAATAACCATTAAATTAATTTTATATTTTGAGTCAAGCAATAAGTTACATGCCCATTTAATAAATTGTTAGAATAATCTAACTGTAGATATTAAATTATTAATTTAACCAAAAATAATAAATTTCTTAACTCTCAACTTGTTCGTGACACTGTTTTATTCCATTGGAATTTTCCTGTTCAGGGCTTTCTTGGACTCAGTGGAGCTATCCTGATCCAAATCTACCATACCTTTTGTGATGGGGACCCAACAACCTACCTTCTTATGCTTGCTTGCTTGCCTGCATTCATATGTTTATTGCTTATGTTTTTACTGAGAATTTATGAAGTGCACGGTGGTGATTACAAGAAGCATCTAGATGGGTTCTCTGTGGTCACTGTGATTATTGTTGCTTATCTCATGTTCATAATAATTTTACAGAACTTCATTAGTTTGTCATATTGGGCACGGATGTTCATATTTGTAATCCTTATCTTTCTGCTAGCGTCACCTTTTGGTATTGCTACCAAAGCTCATTGGGAGGAGTCGCGGAAATTTGCACAATCGGATACCATTGAGAGGGCTCCTTCAGCAAACAAGGCCACTTCCTCCAAATATTCTCCATCAGGGGATGAAGTGGAATACCAAGAGCTACCTAGTGAAGAGGGGCAGATACAGGTGACTTCAGATGACACATTGCCCCATGAAGAAGAAAAGAACCTCTTGCTAGCTATGTGTACAGTTGAATTTTGGATGTTGTTTGTGACCATGATATCAGGGTTGGGCTCTGGGCTGGCAACAATAAATAATATGAGCCAAATAGGGCAATCTCTTGGCTATAGTACTATTGAGATTAATAATATGGTGTCACTGTGGAGTATGTGGAATTTTCTTGGCCGCTTTGGAGGTGGTCATGTATCGGATTATATTATGCACAGAAAAGGTTGGCCGAGGCCCCTGTTGATGACTGCAACTCTGGGGACAATGATTATTGGGCATTTAATTATAGCTTCTGGTTTTCATGGAAATTTGTATCTTGGTCCTGTCCTAGTGGGCATCTGCTATGGTGCACATTGGTCCTTGATGCCTACAATCACTTCTGAGATATTTGGTGTAAAGCATATGGGTACCATTTTCAACACTATTGCAGCTGCGAGTCCATTTGGATCTTATATACTTTCTGTGAGAGTTGTGGGATATATATATGACATGCAAGCCGATGAAGATGATAACACATGCTTTGGAATCCACTGTTTCATGTCTTCGTTTTTTATCCTAGCAGGTGTGGCTTTTCTTGCATTTTTGGTTGGTCTGGCATTATACTTCCGGACCCGAAGGTTCTATAAGATAGTTGTGCTTAGAAGATTAAAACATTATGCAAGAAGATGAAGATTATATTTACGAGCATTTCAACACAAGGTAAAGGCTGAGGAAACCAGTGTTGTTTTCTCTGTTTTGTTTGGCATAAATATAATTAATGCAATATTCTAGAGTTTATCTATGCAGCTAATTTGAATTATGCATTTTACTTGCTGTGTATATACAGAATAATCAAATAAATGTAATCTACTGTTCATTCAATTGTCATCACCGTTGTCTTAGATTGTGAGCATAGCTTCCCACTTTTCAGAAGCCATTTCTTTTCTACAGTTATTTATTCATTTCCTTCCCAATTGGTTGGTGATAGAAAAAGAGAGTGGGTTGGAAAATGTTGGGCCAAGGTAAATAATGTATTTACAAGGGAGCAATAAGAATGGTGCTCGGGGTAAAGAGGAAACAACAGTGTGAGTGTGTAAAAGAATTTACCCTTGGCAGCAAGGTATTGGAGAGGAGAACTGTGCAATGATGGGTGAGTAAAGGAAACATTGAATGTAGAAGCAGTGGGAAATAGCGAAAGGGCATAACATGAATGTAGAATCTTCATTCTAGATGGTGGCCTAGAACTGGGAAAGCAGGCTCTTTATATCAATTTTGATTGTTATCCCTTATTTCTGCATTTTTTATATTTCTTCTATTTTAGTTTGTGTTTCCTTTTGTTGAGAATTACCTTTTACCTTGCAAAGGAGATTTCCTCCTTGATTTCTATTATATTATCAATATTAATACTTGCACCTATCAAGTTAGTATCAAAGATTTCAATCCTGGGGAGCCTCTAGATGGTATTGGCACACTTGGAGGGAAGCTTGGAAACTATTGAGTGGAGGATGGACTGAATTCCTGACCTGTCGAGGTGCAAAGTGAGGAAAGGGTGTAACATTTTAAATAGTACTCAATCAATCAGATATATAGGTGAAGCATGTGGCGAAGACGGTGGTTTGTTTGGAAAGAAGGTTATTGAATTGGTTCCCCTCCAGGTGTGAGAACTGCAAATGCGTCATGATGAAGCTGGGGTTCCACCATGAAGGGGAGGTTTCAGTTTGATTTGTCAGACAGCATATGCGATGTTAATGGAATTGTGATACAGTAGGTCAATCATGGAGTATCACAAGACATAAGCAATTTGAACTCCTTTCAGCTAAGTTGTGTTATGCTGATCAGGATTGAAATTGGATGCTTGGTCGATTACTTTGGTATTTAACATGGGTCAACAAATAACAGGCCTGTTGAAAAGGAGGAAGAAATTTCTGCTATTATGTTGTTGGTGGTTATGAAGAAGATTGAGAAGGGAGATGAAAGTAGTGGTGGAGGTGAGGATCTGTATGGGGCAGATCAGAACACCCAGAGAACAGATCATGGATCTAAGTTGGAGATGGTCTCTGTCCCATGATGCAGCATGTCTGTATGGGTGAAGATGTGCGAGTTGTCCAGTTCTGGGTTGATAGAAGTATTGAGTTCTGGTCACTTGCTTAGTTAGGCCAACAAACATGAGAAGCAAGGATGTTGGTAAGAATGAGTCGCCAGAAACAGGTGGCAGCAGAGGGATCAATGGACACTGCAAAGGTGTGGGGCTTAGTGTCCAGAAGGCCAATGGCTTAGGAAGCGGTGGACGTGTGTTGTGGGAGAGGTGGTCAAAGTTGTGATGGGTGTTGAACGTTCACATCTTCAGCCTTGAAAGCACAAAGCAGAAAAGTGAAGCAGCTGCATAAGTTGTGGGGAAGCAAATGGTTTCACACTTTCACCCAGATGTGCATTTCCCAGAGGGAGAAGATGGATGTGTCAATTGGGATGCTTCTTGGATCTTGAAGGCAGATAGAGGAGGTGAACCTGCAGTTGTGTTTTGTAGATCATTTGAAATGAGATTCTGGTCTTACCTTCTTTTTATCATTATTATTTGTTATCGTTCATTTCTGGACATGTTATTTGCTTGTTAGTATTAGTATTCTCTACTTTCTTGATTAAAGATAGGAGAAATACTTCCATTCTATTTTGTTAAAGAATTACGCCAAAATCACTCTGAAAGTTAAGAACTTGTACAATTAAATCACATGAAGAGGTTTTTTCATGTTGTTGTAGCATGCTACTATCTGTATGTGATGAAGTTTTTGAGCAGTGGAGTGTAAGGAGGAAGCACAATACCATGATAAGTATTCCTCACAATTTATGGTTGGTAAACTTTGGACGGTTGTCGGACAGAACAGGAAATCTCAAACTGCAAGCTTTACATATTGGGGGAGGTATTGATTTGTTTCAGGTTTTTGTTTGTATACTAGGTAAACTAGTTTGGAAGAGGTTGTTAATTTTTTACTTTTTATAAGTCATGCATTATGATGATTAATTTGCTTTGTATTTCATATATACCTTTGCTGCAACCTCGAGAAATATGCAAATTGTGACAGTAGTTGGCAAAATAACGAGGTACCTTTATTGAGGTCTACCCTACCTCCCCATTTGGATGATATTACCTTGGGAATTGTTTGGAAAGGGAGAGAGCAAAATTTTTATTTTAATAAATATATTTTAATTTGAGAATTTTTTAAAATTAAAGATTTCAAGTGATAAATTAGCATAAATATAATATATTAATCATTTATTTATTATCATAGATTTAAAAATAACTCTAGTTATGAAAATTATTTATAAATTTAATCATAATTTTATTTTTTAATTTAAAAATAAAAAAATTTCCTCCCATCCTTTCCAAAAACTTCCTCTCTAACACCCCCTTAATAGTATCAACTCCTGTTAACCCTTTTAAACCTGCTGTTGGGTTTTAAAATGATTTTACTTAGTTGAGCGCCACAGACTAAATCAAGCATGCTTCTATTTTTAATGAGATTTTGATTTGATCACAGTATTGTTTTGTCAATTATTATTTTTTCCATACTATCATTATCAATGTATTAATTTGATGCATGATTAGTATTGCCTGCACATAAAACTTTCTCAAATAACTTGCCTGACGGATTAGCACTCCCTGTTGTGTACGATTCTTTCTTTCTTTCCCTTGATTCTACATTTTCTTATGTTAGATCGTGCACAAAATTTGTTTGTAATACAGTCTATTAGATAGATAGATATAGATATATTTCAAATCACAAGTTTTCTATTTCAGTATAATTAGCTCAGATTAAAGTGCTGGGCATGGAGAAAGCTAGGCGCCGTTGCTTTATTGTTCATCCTAAAAGTTTTACTTTATACAATGAATGATCCCAATGCTATCTTGCTTCCTTGAGAATATGTGATTTGCTACAGGTGTTTTGCACTTGATACCTTCTTTAATCAGCCTGACTCCACGTCCCTCTGTTTCCTTTTTGTTTGCGGGAAGGTCTGTGCACACTTTCAAGTTCCTAATATGTACTACTGATGACATATGTTTTGGACCCTAGTCTTATAATGCTTATACTTTTTTCCAAACAATTGTCAAAGATTATATTATTAAAAATTCTCATGTATTACATATTGGTAATGTAATGTGTTTGAGACTGTATTTTGGTGAATAGTAGTGTTCCATTTAATATATATTAGTTATGCATGTGTTGGTACATAATGCACTTTCTACAATTTGAGTTTTTAAGGCTATAGCAAAGATTTTTGCTCTGAGTGAGATTTCAGCAACATTGGTTTTTTCCTTTTTGGTATGCGTTTGGGTTAGTTTAGTATTGCTTCTGCTCTGTACTACTGGTTTCTGATATTGATTTTATTAAATGAGAGTCATATGGGTTGGAATGTATTCCAAGATTCAAATCACAAGTTAAATTCAGCTTTTATTGGATGGATTCACAAATTACCGTTAGGTAAGATGCTATAGTGTCTTGGTTTATTAGTTAGTTCTTTTTTTTTTTTTTTTCGGTCAGTCTGAAAAGCAAAAGGCGAAACTACAATCTCAAATGGCATCAACCAGGTGGAAGGAACTAAGTTGGGGAGTAGAAGTGACCCAATGCTGAAAGCTGCAAGGTGCAGCAAACCCTTGCTTTGGCAACCAATCAACACAATTGTTAGCTTCTGCGTAGAATATGGGAGAAGGACAGGACCCAATCTCTGGCTGATAAATCTTTATAGCATGAAAATTAGAGGGGCCAAGTGATGAAACTGATTCACACCTTCTGAGATCATCACGATGGCAGAGAGGAATCCGATTCACAATGAACTTTTCTCTAGTCCACCCCTCATCAGAGAAGACTTGTGTTTCTAGCTTTCCAAATGCACCAAGCTATCACTATAAAATTAGTTGCATGGCACCCCTGCACGAAATGCTTGATCGACTGCTTTGAGTCTTAATGAACACAGAAAGGGTGGTTGGAGAACCTGGTGAATGTCTAAATATGTTTGGTTTTAACACAATCACGGAGGCAATGTAATGTGGATGGATTCAGCATGCGCACCACACCATAGCAAGCTTGATCAGATGAGACATGGCGAGACACCCTCATAGCATTTCTCACCATTATATGCCAGAGAAAGTATTTTATATTTTCTGGAAGATGCAATTTCCAAATCCATTGAAGGGAGATCGGTCGACCTCAAATGATTCCCGTAAAGAAGTTTCCTTTTTTTTTTCCCCCCCACAAATCAAGCTTCTTTACACCTCTATTTAGTAAAAATAAAATAATTTAATTAAAGACAAATAAATAATTATTTACATCTATATATTAAATTTAATACCTTATTTTTTATTTTACAAAGTTATATCATATATTTTCTTATATATGGCTTGAGTGCTTACATTAAACCAAATAAATTTATCATTGGTTTATTTCTTAATTATTTATTTAAATACAAAGTTTATTTTTATAATTTCAATAGTTATTATTTTAATTTCTACAACCAATAGAAGATTTGTAACTTATTATAAAAATGAATTTTTATTAATTACAACATTTTTAAAACTTCAAGATTTTTCCTGTGAATTTAATATTTTTTGTAAATATCTTTGTACTAGTGCCTTCCAACTAGGTGGCAAAAGAACAGTGTGCACGCCCAGGTGTCATCACTGGGTAGAACTTAAAACAAAAGAAATACACCGGAAGGCAAAGCTCAGTTCAACTGATGAAGAAGGAACCCCAAGAAGAAACCCCATCCTAGAAATTGAGGTACCCGACATCAAATGGAGTTTGCAAACTTGAATTTGTATCTGAACTCAAAGTGGTTATCGGTAGTGGCGAGCATATGGATTCAGTGCACCAGCGGATCACTCTATACTTTCTCCATCTACTCTCAAACTCTCAAGTCAACGCAGCACTACGATCAATCAACGCTCGACGTCGTTTCTGTTTCCAAAGACATCGGAGCTAACGTTGGGGTCCTCTCTGGCCTTATATACGATTTCTTCGCCCGAAGAACCACTGCTGGGCCTTGGCTCGTCCATTTCTTGGGCTTGGTCCAATGCTTCTTGGGCTATTTCCTCATGTGGGCCGCCGTCGCCGGGCTCTTTCCGCCGCTGCCCGTGCCTCTCATGTGCCTCTTCATGTTCGTGGCGGCTCATGCTCAGAGCTACTTTAACACTTCCAACGTTGTCACCGGCGTACATAATTTCCCTAATTACAGCGGAACCATCGTCGGCATTATGAAGGTTTCCTTTTCCTTTTCTTCTTGGTAAACAAAAAATGAACTTTGCGCTAAAAAATTGATTAATTGTATTGTGAAAATTGTTTACACGCTATTTTTAATATGAAAAATTATCATTCTCTACCCTCATTAAATGTATATATACCTAGTAAGATACAAAAGGAGAAGAGAGATAAGAAAAAATTAAGACTGGCGATATGATGTGATAGAGAAAAAAATACGGTAGAAGAGAGGGAAAGATACTGCATAGATATATGAATATCATTGTTTTCCTCTTTGTGATAGGGATTTCTTGGTCTCAGTGGAGCAATATTAATTTTAGTGTATCGGACAATATTCAACAACAAGCCTACGTTGTATCTTCTGATGCTTGCACTCTTACCACCAATAAACACTTTGCTGCTTATGTGGTTTGTAAGAATCCATAAAACTCGTGGGGGAGAAGAAAGGAAGTACCTGAATGTGTTTTCTTTGATGGCTTTGGTTATTGCTGCATATCTTATGGTTGTTATAATTCTAGAGAACGTTGTTGGTCTGCAATCATTTGTCCGCATTTTTGTATTTGCTGTGCTCATGGTGTTGCTTGCCTCACTTTTTGGCATGGCATTTAAAGCACAAGAAAGAAACTCCAGTGGAACTTCGGAAAATTTTCTCGACGAGCAGTCCCAACTAATTGCGGAGTCAGGCCCTGAGAAGGTGGATGCAAGGGAAGATTCTTCCGACTACCCTTTTCCTGATTCTAACAATCAAAGGACTAGTTTGCAACAAGGAGAAAACCTGAACCTTATCCAAGCAGTGCAAACTGTGAACTTCTGGGTTTTGTTTATTTCTATGGCATTTGGTATGGGATCAGGCCTTGCAACAGTTAATAATTTGGGCCAAATAGGGGAATCCCTTGGTTATTCCAGCCATGAGACAGGTTCCTTGGTTTCTTTGTGGAGCATTTGGAATTTTCTTGGCCGTTTTGGAGCTGGTTATGTTTCAGATTATTTTTTACACACAAGAGGATGGGCAAGACCATTGTTTATGGTTAACACTTTAATGATCATGAGCATTGGTCATGTGGTGATTGCTTCTGGACTTCCTGGTGCTCTATATGGTGGTTCAATATTGGTGGGCATTTGTTATGGCTCTCAGTGGTCCCTAATGCCCACAATCACTTCTGAGATATTTGGTGTGGGACATATGGGCAGCATATTCAACACCATTACCATAGCAAATCCAGTGGGATCTTATATATTCTCTGTAAGAGTAGTTGGGTACATATATGACAAAGAAGCATCAGAAGGAAATACATGCATTGGAACTCATTGTTTTATGCTTTCTTTTCTCATAATGGCATCTGCCACTTTTCTGGGTTCTGTGACAGCTTTATGTTTGTTTTTGCGGACAAAAAACTTTTATGATCAGATTATACGGAGAAGAATTCAAAATGTTCGGTGATGGAATAAAAAGATCAGGCTGTAGTATACTGTGAAGGAATAATGAATTTCTTGGGTTCAGTGACTTAAAGGTAATAATGTCTGCCTTTCGTTCACTTCGTGTGTGGGTACATGAATGTAATTACTCTCTTTGATTCTTGTTACACTACAATTTGCTGTAGATATATGTGGATTATCCTCTCCAACACAATGTAAATGTGATTAATTTTTGCAGTCAGTGTGAGAAAATCTTTATTTTGTTGTGTTTACTGCTCGCAGTAGTCTTGGTACTGTTTCAAATTTTCCATGTCTAACATGTTTCTACATCCTGAAGATATTTATCTACCTATTTCACTCAAAGCACCAATGTGGATTTATTTAAGATGAATGAACTCTGCGAAATTAACATGTTTCAAATTTTGCAGTCAGTTGCTACTTAAAGCAACACTAAGTTTTAATATGAAATGGAATTCCAACATTCTGAGTACTCAGGTTATCCTATTAAATTCTCTAATGTTGTGCACATAAAACTTGTGCATAGGTAATCGTTGTCAACTTGAGGGAGGATTCAAAATTGCTTTCAGCGAAAAAGTAAGGAAAACTCTGAAAAGTGTGCCTAATTTTTTCCCCTGATTTTCAAGGAAATTCTTAAGGCAAATTTCTCAAATTATTTTTTAATAATGCCAACAGTTCCATGTTCATTCAGTTGACCCAAAACATCTTTTGACTCGGACTTTTTAATAATTTTTTGTGCAGCCTAATGTATTCAGATTTTATTCATAAGTTCTCCTAGATAAAACTAATTTTACTCCTCTTTATAGAGAAGGTATTATTATGTATTCTATTTTAAATAAAGTGAGCAGTTTGAAATATTTAATTTTTAGAGAAGTTTTTTTCCTTTCATTTTGATAAGAGAACACACTCTTATTTATATTTAGTTTTTGAAGAAATTTTTTTTTCTTTTATTTTGATACTAATTTTTATTTTTTTTGTTTTTAGGGATGGAAACAGGCTAGGTTGCCGGACAGGAGTCTGCAGCCTGGTCTGACTTTTTTAATAAATAAATAACGTTTAGATTTTTTTTAAAGCATATTTAAGTAAATAAGTTAGATTTGAACTATTTCCAAAGTCTGTTAAACATGACAGACTGACCTATATATATATATATATATATATATATATAATTTAAAAATGGATTTATCAAAATATGTTTAAATATATTTTTAATTTTGTTATATTAAATTAATATATTATGTTATAATTTTTTTTATAATTATAATAAATAAAAATTATATTCTATTAAAAATTAAAAATATTTATACACGATTATACTTTTAAATAATAAATTTATTTAATAATAAATTATCATATTTGTTACATTTAAATAAATTAAAGAGTGGTTAAATCTTTAAATAAAAATAAGAAGCAAATAAAACTGAATGAAATAAAATTAAAAATTGAAATAATAATATTATATTAATATATTTTTTATATTCTTAATTTTATTATTATTATTATTTAATTATTATATTAATATATTATGTTTAATTCTTTTTTTTCTTTATAATAAATAAAAATATGAATTATATTTTATTCAAAATTAAAATTTTATAAAAAAATGATAAAAAAATAAAATAAAAAATTATATATATATATAATAGGATCATATAATAAATAATATAAATAACATAATTTTAAATAAATTATATACAATAATATATACTTTTTGTAATTTAATATATATTTTAGTTTTATTAGTATAAATTTTTTGAGTAAAGTATCTATAAAATTTTTTTACATAGCAACACACCTAAATATAAATATATCAAATTTTAAATAATTATTTTTTATAAATTTGATATAAATGTAAATAAATTTAAAAAAAATATAATTATTAATATACATTCAAAATTTAATAATTAATAAATATTTTAAAAAAAGTATAAATAAAAAATTAAAATTAATTTATCAATTTATAATATATATATATATATATATTAATATATTATATCAGTGATTTTTTTATATTATATTACTTGTTATAGTTACGTATATTTATTAACTTAAAATAAAAATAAATAAAATTAAATATTTTGTAATTATTTTTTAATTTAATAATTATTATTATTGTCATTATATATATATATATATATATTAAGTTTTATTTTTTATTAAGATAAAAGTTTAAAAATATAAATTATTTTAATTTAAATATAAATTTTATTAATTTTTACTGTTATTTTTTCTGTATTCTTGAATTTTATAATATTAATATTTTTTATCTGCAATTTTTACAATGACTATTTTTTTAAATATAATAATTTTTTTAATTTTATATTATCAATTTTATGTGATTACTGTGAATTTATTTATTAAATATAAGATATCTTTACATAAATAAAATATAATTATCATAAAAAAATAATTAAAATTTTTAATACTTTAATTATAATTATAATATATATTTGAAATTTAATAATTTATAAATATTTACATAAATAAAAAAAATTAAATTATTAGATAATTTATCAATTTATATTTTATATATAAGTATATATTTTAATTTATTGTATGAGTAATTTTTTTATATTACATTAATATTATAGTATTGTTAATTTTACGTGTATTCATTAATTTAAAATAATAAATAAATAAAATAAATAAAATTAAATATTTTGTAATTATTTTATTTTTTAATTTAATAATAATTACTATTGTTATTATATATATTACATTAAATTTAAATTTATTTAATTTTTAAAATATAATAATTTTCTTTCAACTGTGTGAATATTATTTTTTGTAATCAATTTTATGTGTTTATTATAACTTTATTTATTAAATATAAGATGTCTTTAAACAAATAAAATATGATCATAAACAAAACTAAAATCTTTAATACTTTTATAATTTTTTAAAAAATTAAGAAAAATAAAAATAAAAATTTATTTAATATGAAACATTTATAATTAGTGCTCAAATAATATTTTAAAAATTATTTAATAGACTTCAGATCAGACCAGGCCACCTAAACAGGTCAGGCCAAGTTGAAAATAAAGCCTTTAACAGACAACAGGTTAGGCTCAAGCCTAATAATTATGTTATAGGCCTGACCTGTTGAAAGTAAAGCCTAACCTGACCTAGTCTTGCCTGTTTCCATCTCTACTTATTTTCAAAGATGAATTTAAATCCTTTCTCAACTAATTTCCACACACTTAGCAATTTTGATCAATTTTAGGTACATATAAAATATTAGAAATTAATTTTGTATTTGTGCAACTTTTAATGGCTACAATTCCTTTTTCTTCAACTATAATATAAGATCATCATTGCCTATTCAAACTGTTGATACTTGTGATCTATCCAACTCTCTGCAAAGCACTTGATCCTGGGTTATATGATTGGTACAATTGGTATCTACTACCCAAGACTTACTTGAGCTACTGCTTATAAAACATGTTGCTACAAACCATTGCTCTTTCTTCTTGTTGATCAACAACTTCAATCTTTTTTTTTTTGTTGAAAGTTACTTTTTCAAATTCTCACATGATGCCCTAACTTGTTGCACTTTTCACACTTAATGTCTGCTCTTCTACATCATTTGAAAGGATGATAATCCATTCTGCCACAATGCTTGCATGGAGGAAATCCTTTACTTTTTTTTTTCTTTTGTGTTTCTTGTGTTAGTAGTTGCTTTGTGAGTATGAATATTCTTCTTGTATTTCTTCAACTTGTTTTTTTCTCCTTGATTAATTTGCAATTTAGCTTGCAAAGCTTCTTCCACATAACCCTTAAGCCTCATTTTTCTTCTTTGCTCTTGAGCTTACAAAGCATTCAAAAGTTTTGCCAAGGTGAGTTTTGACAGATCCTTGGTATTTTTCAAGGAAGTGATAGTAGCCTCAAATCTCTCAGGGGAAATCATCAGTATTCTCTCAACAATTCTAGAATCTGAAAATTTAGAACCAAGCAACCTTACTTTATTAGTAATTGTAAGAATCTTATTAGTGTACTATTTAATTGTTTCATATTTAATTGTTTCAGACTCCTCCATTTCTGCATCTCAAATTCTCTAACCAAATTTAGGGCTTGTATTCTCTTGATTCTCTCATCTCCTTCATACTCCTTCATACTCATTCTAGAGGAAATTTTAGATTTCATAAGTTGATTTGATGGTCATGAGCCTTATAAAAATGTCTTGTGAGACAATAACAAACAAAGAAGCCCTTGCCTTTGATGTTCTTACTTTTCTTTTATTATGATTTTAAATCTGAGCCATTGTTGGATCTATAGGTAAAGGAAGAATTTTCTAATCCTCCTCACCTGCTTCCTATAAATCATTTGCTTTCAGATGTATCTCCATTCTTGCAGCCTAAATATAGTAATTATCACCCTTAAACACAAGTGATACTAATGTTGTGTATGATGTTTCAGAATCCATCTATTTGATGAACTGAAGTAAGGTGTTTAGGATTTTATGGTGAGTTTCACTCAGTTTACTCACAAGTGCCTCTAATACATACCAATTTGTTAGTAATTGTAACTCACTAAAAACATAAGACATGTATTTTTATTAAATAATATTATGCTTAAACACAAATTTTGTAAGAGAGAGAAGTTTTAAAGAATAGTAATGAACTTCCTAAATTATAGCTACTAACATTAATTGCAAATGAGTAATTAAAAATTAAAGAAACAGTCCTAAAAAAATTGATGAAATAGCTAGCAAAAAAAATAAAATAACAGACAACTGTTGATACACACTATAAAAACCTATAAAGAGAATCTAAAATTCAATTGCAAATTATTCTTGAGTTTATTTGTTTCCTGAAAAAATTTCACCATAAATAAATAAATTTATACGAATAAATTCAAGAATGAAGTCTTACTACAAATTTTTAATGATTAAGACCTAGTGAAGAAGGGCTTAAAGGAATCAGAAAGTTGAGTATGAAGCTCAAAAAAAGCTCTTGATGAGGAATTTTCATCAAAGGCCTCCGGTAAAAATAATTCAATGAAAGTTTTTACTAAGTAAGAGTTAGGATGAAAACTCCTATGTTAGAATATTAGAATGATCCAAAAGATACATGATCACTAATGTTTTTGAATTAGGATTGAACGATAATCTTCAAGACATTTGTAAGGTTGTTTTGGTGTATACATTGAAGGAATCAGAAAAGGAGACCACGAGAATTTTTATGTTGATGATGAGATTAATAATAATCCTCTTTGATATTATTATTTAATTGATAAAGGTTTCAATGAAAGATCATCAGCCTGCTTAGAGAAACTTACTAAACTTGCTAAAAAAATGAAAACTCATGTGAAGCCACTGTATGTATTAATAAAAATAAATGATGAATTCAAAGTCAACAAAGTGTTGATTGACTCTAGTGCTACAATCAATTTGATGCTAGCTTTTTGTTGAAAAAGATCAAGAAAGGTGAAAAAGATATACAATGTCATAACATAACATGGTTCTTATAAATTATAAGGGTAAGACTTCTAGCTCGAAGGACATTATTGATGTAAATGTGAGGGGGTTAATATAGTTTCTTGAGCAACCCTTTTCATAGTAATCTCTTCTAGAGCTAAATACAACTTGTTGCTAGGAAGAGAATATATTAATGAAGTTAGAGCGGTTCTATATCTTTAGAATAGTAATGAAATTTTAGGATGTGTTGATAAGGACTAAAGTTACGTCAAGACTGAAGTGCATGTTAGCATGCGTGAAAGTAAGATCGCAACATCTTCATTTTCTTATTTAAAAATAAATAAATTTTTATAGCAAAAAGAGAAAAATAAGAGAATTTTATTCTATTTTATAGATTTAAGAATTGAATAAAAGTAAAACTCATATTTTTCTTATGAAAATTTTAAAAAATTTAAAAGTATTTAAAATTTTTAAAGGAATAATTTTGAGACTTTAAAGTGATAAATAAAATTTAAATTTTTGTCTAACAAATTATTAGTTCACAATGCATACACATAATTTTAAGATATAATGACACTTCAAAATTATTAATTGTAACAAAAATTTATGAAGATAAATTTAAATTATAAAACTAACATTTAAAGTAATTTACATAATTTTGTCAATTCAAAATATAAATATGATAAAACATTACACTTCAAATTATTCTAAATCCTACAGAACAGTCTTTTTTTACAAGGTTACTGAATTATGAACTTAGAACGAACTAACCATTTTTATCTCTTCACTTTCATTACCTGAAAAATATTAGTAAGAGATGAGTATCTCACACCTTACTAAATTTCATATTCGACAGAAGAAATATATATATATATATATATATATATAATACTGAAAATATTATGTAATATATATGTATTAGATTGACAATAACATTCAGAGCATATAAATTATTGTTACAGCAGAGCACATACATCCAACAAATCAATCATCTTTGCAATCATTTATGACATATAATTTTACAATAATCTGTATATCATAATACATGTATTATACCACATCAATCAATATGTTACAATACATGTGTCTTAATCGCATCTATCAATGTATTACAACACATATATAATAACATCAATTAATATGTTAAATGCATATATTATAATCATACAATTTCTATACTATTTCATATTCATTGTCTCTGGGATCCCTTTAGGACTTCATAGTATAGATAGTTGCTAGTTAACTGCAGCAACACAAATATACGTGTGCTGACCCGCCTCTTTTTAGCAAAGGAATAGTTAAGAGCCTCGTCAAGAAATGAGTGTATGACTTGTGAATGTTTTTACTTTCAGCAAATCATTGTGCACCCATTTACAATTCGCATTCACCACTTTCATTTTCTGAAGATTTTTCAAATCTTCTCTGGACTCTATACTACCAGTGTATTTTTGTAACTATCTATACTTATTCTCAGTATTTATCAACTATTCTCATTCTTTTCTATATCCTTCTCATAGGTCAATGTGTCATAATACGTGAGTCTTGATCATATAACTTAATGTATTACAATACATGTATCATGAGTACACCTTTCAATATATCATAATACTCGTATCATAATCACGTCCATCTGGCTCACGTATTATAATCACATTTCTCACAATTTTACCATTAAGTCATATCATTCCGTTTCATACATAAAACTCTTTCTTCATATGAGAACATTCCCACATTTTTCATAAATAATATAAATCTATCAATTTTAGCATATCCAGCTATCATACAACATCCATATTCATTATATCATCTAACACATAAATATTATCAAACAATTTCACACCACACAAACCAATACAATATACCGAAGGTCGGATACCTCCGGACTCAGCCCAATCATACAATCCAATATACACACTTTCTCAATAATAATAAAATCATCTATCCTAAAGTCTAGCATTATCCAATATTTATAGTATATCTATTATTTCCAAAATATTAAAGAGAAGTTAGGGTTTGGGATCACCCCCTTACCTGAAAATGAGTCTCTTAGATCGAGTTTTTCTAAAGATTCGAGGGAAAGACACAACATCCTGATAGAGAATATCGTCTTAAGGGTTAAAAGTTTTCTTAAGTATCACAAGGTACAAAACTTTAGATCAGATAAAATGAAGAAATAAGAATGAAGTTGGAGAACCAAACTTCAAAAAACTTACTTGAATTTGAATGATTGAGCTCCCTTGCCCAAATTCAAAGGAAGATTGAGGTTTATAAGAGGATTTCTAAGAAGAGAGGGTGAGAAATCAAAGAAAACAGAGGAGAGGTTGAGATTTTTGGATTGTGATTCAATTTTCTAGGTTAGAGACCTTTAAATACTCCTTAACTCAGATAAAATTTTTCTTTGCTATTTATCATTTTCATTACAGCAAGAGTATCCTCCTATAGTGAGAGAATTATCACTACAACAAGAGAATGTTAGAGAACTGAAAACTTTTTCTTACTACAATAAGAGATATCTTATTACAGCGAGATACCTTGCACCAAAATTTTTATTTTTTCATATAAAGGCTACAAATTTGAGAATATTACAAAGACGTTCAATAGGCATTTGTTAACATTTCAGCATTCTGAGTGAAGAATTTGAAGAATCCATATTTTGTTAATAACACCAATACTTTGATACCTTACAAAATCTTTTTGGATCCTTTGTCGAGTTTCTATAGCTTCCAAAGTGGTTTGGAAGAAGCCGAAGAAGCTATGCAAAAATACAATATGGAAAATTGTTGTACTCAAAATCTATACATCATCACAGTCTTACGTGAGTTAGACCCAATAACCAATAGATTAGGTGTTCTTGCTATTAATTGTCAAAAGTTGTACTTTTAATTTTGCAAGTTAATTTCAATCAGTTCTTTCTTTTCAATTTTTATTGCTTTACTTTTAAGAATATCCTGCAATATTTCTTCTTTTATTCTTTCTATTTTATTTTTTCATTTTTCTACGACGTTATTAAGCAAATTACATTAAAAACATACTGTAAAATAACATGCAAAGGGAATCTAAAATTTAATCTCAGATTATTTTTTAATTTATTTGTTTATTAAAAAAATTCATCATAAAAAAAAAATACAAGATACTTAATATTATCTTTGAAAAATAAATAGTATTTTTAAAATAAATTTTTTGAAATTGATTTTATCTGAAAAGTAAACAAGAAAATGTTATTTTTAATTTAATATAAAATGCATCATAATTTAAATTTATTAAAATTGAAAATCTAAATATATTTATATTTAATTACTTTAAAATCAAATTCATTTGGAGGAATATTTCATGCTCCCTGCTTAATATAAAAAATGACGAAGAGCTTCTTTGGATATGATTGCAAACGGAGTTTTTTCTTTATTTCTTCCTTTTCCCCCCTCTTTGTGTAGTTAAAACGGAATTTGTAACGTCAAAACAAACAAGTTGTAAAATGTTTGTCCCGATTTCAGCCCCCACTTTCTAACTTTATTCTGTAATTAACCTATAAATGAAAAAGAGAAAAAAACAAGTTGACCAATAAAAAGTACATTGAACAAACAAGTTCTAAATTGTAGGAATGCAATTATTTATACAATAAAGAAAAAAACATTATAATAGAGAATGATAGAAATAAAATTATCATAAGAATATTATAACTCAATAAACAAAATATTCGCAAATACATCAACATGACTACATGTGCAATTGTTCCTAAACGTGGCTGCACTTGACCAAACACTACGATTTTTATTTAAGAGTTTTGTTGGCGCTGGTTAATAAATTTAAAATGATAGTTTTTTTATTAAAAATTACTCTAAATAGTATTAAAAATTATTTTACTTCTAATTCTTTAAAGTAGTGTTTGGCATTTACCTTTGTGCAAACCGGAAGAAGCCATTGTGTTGCGTCATGTGTGACATCAATAATGTCCACGTGGCACGACATATGGTCACCCTCACAATCCGTATTCGGATTATACCTTCATATCTTTGTTTGTTTCCACCATTATTGGGGGATGGTCACAGTTGAATTCCGACTATTTATCTCTACGTTTTCGTTTTATTTATTAATTATTTGGTCAGTGGTAATCCAAAGTGGATTCCATTCTTAATTACTCCATGTCTTCTGCTTCCTTTTGGGTCATTGGTTAGAAACAATGCAATAAATAAGGGTAAAGAAAAGAAGTATGAACCCAATGAAAAGTAAATCAACCAAGTTATGCTAGGTCCTTGGTGTCTCTATTGTCTAAACTAAACTAAACTAAACTTCCACCAATACTTTAAAGAGAATTGATGAAAAAGTCAACTGGGAAGATGGGAAAACATCTAGAACTTGACGTCTGTGTCCTTTTCCATTATGGCGTGTGAACAAGGGGAAAAGGTGAAGGGTAAAAAGGGCTTGAACTCTTGGTGGTTGAGGAAGTTTCTTTTTTTATTTGAGAGGTTTGAATGAAAATTGAAAACTATGGGAGTTAACCAGGAGTTGTAGACAATGGGTGAATATTAAAAAAAAAAAACAGAAATGAAGGACTAAAGGATAGAAATTGATTATGGTTGAAGATTTTGTGCTTGAAAAGTGACTGTTTTGAGGGAGAGAGGAGAGCTGTTTTAAAATAAATTATGTTCGTTTTATCCCTTCAAGTCAACTTGCTACAAAAGGGTTGTGTTTTTTGGATGGTGTTCTGGGATGTGTTATAAATAAGTGGAGACGATATTGGTGTAGTGGGATTTCAAGTTTACACTGGTTTGGTGAAATGAAGGGTGTTCTTTCCATCAGCTTCTTGTTTTGTTGCTTGTTTCTGCTTTTGGATTCTTCGATTTCACTTCCACTCTGCGTTGATTCAAGTGAGTTTTTTTTATCTTTTTGGGATTTTGCCTATATCGTGTGTGTTTTATTCACAAAGCTTTGTGTATAGATTTCAGAGCCTTGTATTTTATGTAGCAAGCTCATTCCCAAACCGCTTGTTTTATTTTTCCTCCTTTATCTCTTTGTTTTAGGGGCACCCCTTACCCTGAACACGACACTTGGATTTTGTCCTTACAATGGAAGCACATGTTGCAACTCCACAGAAGATGCACAGATAGAGAAGCAGTTCCGAATGAGGAACATATCTGATCCTGGCTGTGCCGCAGTTTTGAAGTCAATACTTTGTGCGGTAAGATTTTGTTTTTCCCAAATGCATGAATTTAGTTAAGGACCCAGAAAAATGCGTTTTTTCTTTGTCTCTTTTGATTGGGGTTTCCCAAGTACCGATAAGTTGTTCATGTTTGACATATGGCTCAAATAGCACGTAACGATTAATTACCAAGTTTGGTCGTTTCTTCATAAATATCTGGCTTTTTAAAATATATTTGAGGCACAAGAGCTGTATCAATTTTCCATAAATGGGGATTGCACCATTGGCTTTATTCAAAATCTGAACTTTTTTTGCAATAATTTTCCATGTATAGAAAGTGGGTAGTCATGGGTATAACTTTCTCATCAATATGGTGACATCTCTACTAGAGACTACTGTAACATTTACTATTCTCTGCCCAATTCTCACAATAACTTTCATTTCTTTGCTACCCTTGTATGCAGAGGTGTGACCCATTTTCAGCAGAGCTATTTACAGTACAATCCTCCCCTAGATCAGTTCCAGTGCTTTGCAATTCCACCATACCAGCAAATTCTTCTCAGTCAAAGACAGCAGTGGAGGACTTCTGCTCTCAAGTATGGGACACGTGTGAAAATGTATCCATAGTGAATTCTCCATTTGCCCCTTCATTACAAGGTCAAGCAGGAGCACCAGTTCATACCAATGCTACAAAATTGACTGATTTATGGCAGTCCAAAACAGACTTTTGCACTGCATTTGGTGGATTATCTGATAATTCATCCATGTGCTTTGACGGAGAACCAGTTTCTCTAAATAAAACTGAGGTTCCTGTTACACCCCCACGTGGCTTGTGCCTTGAGAAAATTGGTAATGGATCTTATCTCAACATGGTGGCTCACCCTGATGGCTCTAACCGTGCATTCTTCTCTAATCAAATGGGTAAGGTCTGGCTGGCAACACTTCCAGATGAGGGATCAGGAGGGAAATTGGAGCTTGATGAATCGAGTCCCTTTGTTGATCTAACTGATCAGGTTTATTTTGCTACCCAATTTGGAATGATGGGCATGGCATTTCATCCAAATTTTGCGCAAAATGGGCGATTCTTTGCTTCATTTAACTGTGATAAATCCAAGTGGTCAGGATGTACTGGAAGATGTTCTTGTAATTCAGATGTTAATTGTGATCCTTCAAAGATTGGTACTGATCAAGGTGCCCAACCATGCCAATATCAAACTGTTATTGCAGAATATTCTGCTAATGGCACAGCATCTCAGCCTTCTATGGTACACACCTCTGAATATATGCAAAAGTAGTTTCTATAATGAGTTTAATTCAATGAATATACACCTGAGTTATTAATGTTTTTGCAGGTGGAAAATGCTAAACCAACTGAAGTGAGAAGAATATTTACCATGGGCCTCCCATTTACAGGTCAACATGGAGGTCAAATACTCTTTGGACCTGATGATGGGTATTTATACTTCATGATGGGATATGGAGGAGGTTCAGGTGATCCATACAATTTTGCACAAAACAAGAAATCTCTTCTTGGAAAGATTATGAGGCTTGATATAGACAACATCCCTAGTGAGTATCACTCATAACATGTATCTAGTGATAGCTTGAGAGTAGTTTTGGCATTGATATCTAGGTATCTATCTATCTTTAATTTTCAGGTGCAGAAGAAATTAGTAAACTTGGGCTTTGGGGTAACTACTCCACTCCAAAGGACAATCCATTTAGTGAAGATAAAGATCTGCAACCTGAAATATGGGCCTTGGGACTAAGGAATCCTTGGCGCTGCAGTTTTGATGCAGAAAGACCTTCCTACTTTTTGTGTGGAGATGTTGGACAGGTTTGTGAATTCTTATCCTACAACAATTTTGTAGCGTTCAATTTACACAACAACGTCATACATCAACTTCAGTGCGTTATGGCTTGCCACTATCAAAGTGTGTACTTCCTAAGTGAGACATGACACTCGACAGATTCATTAGAGAAACTTGGAAATTTTTTTCCTTTAAATTTTGTTCCTTGATCATCTGGATTCTTGAAAACTGTAAAATACAAGTAAAAAGGACCAACTTGTCTCAAAATATCATGTTAGCATACCAAGAATAGTACTGTAAAATAGGTTCATCATCAATATGCCTTTCTGTATTGTAATTGCATAATTGATAACATTGACGCATTTATATGGTATAATTACATTACTGTTAAATCCCAAAATAAGTTGGAGTTTGTTATGCTTCAAGAGGAAAAACATTTAGAAAGCATGAGTATAAAAAATAAAAATCACAAGACTCCAACTTCTATTCTATTCTTAAAAAGTATATGCTTCCTAGAAATGTTATTCGAATTATGTGAGAGTTTAGTGGAACTCTCAGTTACATAATTGATTTGCAGGATGTTTATGAGGAGGTGGATCTCATCACAAAGGGTGGAAACTACGGCTGGCGTGTTTATGAGGGTCCCAATCTATTCCACCCTACACAATCACCTGGAGGAAATACTTCCCTAAAATCCATTAATCCAATTTTCCCAATATTTGGATACAAACATACTGAAATAAACAAGAATGAAGGATCAGCATCCATTACCGGAGGATATATGTATCGATCTACCACTGATCCTTGCATGTATGGAAGGTAAACATGCTTCTTCCATTCAATACAGCTTGTCTTAGACATGACAAATTATAATTTTATCTTATAAGATTTCTTTTACACTGAACATCCCCACAAGACGCGGATACTTCATCAAATAGTTTTTTTGATATACCTTTCAAAATATAAGCAAATGGTAGCTATAATAAGATTGTATACATGTTCAAATTTTTTAATTTAACATGCATGATCACGATCATAATATTACATGATCCAAGAGGGATTTGTAAGCATAAGAAAACTGAATCTCAACCGTATAACTAAACTGAATCCAATATTCCGGATCAGTTCCTACCAATGTAGGGAACAGTAGGAGAAGTTACATGAGTTGTTGCCAAATCACTGAATTTCAGGTACGTGTTTGGGGATCTGTATGCGGAAGCAATGTGGGCAGGGACAGAGGAGCCAGAAAACAGTGGAAATTTCAGCACTAGCAGAATTCCATTCAGTTGTGCAAGTGATTCTCCAATACAATGTGACGCAGCACCTGGAAACTCTCTTCCTGCTTTAGGCTACATCTATTCATTTGGTGAAGACAAGAAGAAAGATGTTTATGTCCTTGCAAGCACTGGCGTTTACCGCATTGTTCGTCCGAGTCGTTGCAGTTATGTTTGCTCACTGGAAAAGGCAACAACTACTACAACCTCACCCCCTTCTCCTTCTCCTTCTCATGCTGGCCATAGAAGTAACCTCTCTCTATATATGTTTTTGCACTTTTCATCTTTGTTGTTGCATTTGTTGGGTTTCATGTAGAATGCTATGATTTTTGTAAATTACGTAGAGATCGCAGGCGCATGTTCGTTTCCGCCTTTCTTCTTTTGCACTCCTTATTTATGCTTCATTAATAAAAGATAAGTGAGCACAAATTCTGAATCGGCTTTTGGTTTTTAACACACTTTTTAGTGCATGTCAGAATTGAATTAAACACGTTTATAGTTAAGGAGATTCTCGTTCTTGAATTTATTTATATATATATATTATTAATGTTTCTTAATAACTTTTATGAAAGATTAACTAATTCAACTTCTAAATTATTTTATATTATCTCTTTAATCATATATTTGCAGGTATGATATCTAAAATTATATATAAGTTAGAGATGTTTTTTATACCAGATATTAAATTTAGATACTTACGTCACTTAATAATTTTTTATATGCAAGATTAGCTAATTCAATAATTGGTTTGAAGCTTCTTATCAAATGTATTAAACTTGTATATGATGTCAACTATCAAATAACGAGATGCGTCTTGATTTGTAAAATGAAATTAAAGATTTAAATGAAAAAGATAGTAATGAATGAAACAAATACTAATAAGAAATATAATTTAAATACAAGAGAAACGAATTTATCAAGAAGACAATTACGAATTAAGTAATGCAAATTGTAATTCAGCAAACTAAGTTATCGGGGGTGTTGAGGCTAGAATCCTCCTTATTATCCTTTTTTGCAATCCAATTTTAATTTTTAGTTTTTACTACATTAAAGATCAAATTCTCTTTTTCAAACAAAATTTAATCTTTTAACATTTAATTTTTTTCCCCAAAAATAAAAATCTAATTTCTTAAATTTTCTATCAAAAAAGAAGGTGAAAGAGCAAAAATAGGGAGACAATAGAAATATAGGTTCTTTTATATACGAAGTTCTCTACTATCTTGTATTGAACGAAATTGGTTGGGAAAAATTCTAAAAACTAGTAAAAAAGTAGAGTTGTACAAAAGAACAAAAAAAAAAAAAGGAATTAGAAAATGGTAAAAAAGAATAAAAAAATTAACTTAATAATGAGCTAGCATTCTTTGATACTTTCCTGCCTTTTTCCCAGTTGAGGAACATACCTTTATGAGGCTTAACCTGGGATAAATAGAATTAAATGATTGAGGACTCAATACTTTTGTATATATGTTTGCCAATTGATCAGCTAAAGAAATTAGGAGAAAATGAATCAACCTTTTTGAAGTTTCTCCCTCACAATGTGATAATCTATTTCTATATGTTTAATTCACTTGTGAAAAATAGGGTTGGCTGCAATATGCCTAGTAGAATTATTGTCATAATATAAGAGTGCAGGCTTTTCAAAAGGAACTTTGAAGTCTTGCAAAACAAAGGTAAGCTATTAAGTTTCACAAGTAATATTGGTCATTGCTCAGTATTCAACTTCACAAGAGCTTCTTGATGTTGTGTTTTGCTTCTTTGATACCATGATATGAGGGAATTTCCAAGATAAATAATGAAGCATATTATAGATTGCCTTGAATCCCGATAAGTACTCCAATCACTGTCACAATAAGTCTTTAGTTGAATAATGGTAGTAATGGGAAATAACAAATCAAGGCCTAGTGCACTCTTGACGCATCTTAAGATTCGAAGAGTAGTTTGGTAATGATTATTGATGGTTTGGCAATAGAGAAGGTTATGTCTGGTTGAGTTTTTGTGAGATACATCCACCTGCCTGCTAGTCTTCTATATGCAAGAACATATGAGAATTGCTCTCCTCCTTCACATTATAGTTTTCTAACATAATTAATTGGAGTATTTGCTAATTTACATGCTAAGAGTCCTACTTCTGATAACAATTCCAAAGCATATTTCTTTGATTTACCATTATCCCTTATTTGCTTCAGGCTACATCTAATCCAAGAAAATATATCAAATTTCCTAGGTGTTTGATCTTGAAAGTTTTGTCTAAAACATGCTTGATTTGATCAATTTAATCTTTGCATTTTCAGTTAAGAGTCTATCATCCACATACACTAATAAAGTTGTAAAAGATCCTTAAAAGGAATTAATGAATAAAAGATAATCACTCACAAATTGAGCAAAACCAGCTAAGAGTAAAAATGATGATAATCTTGCAAACCATTCTCTACTAGCTTGTTTAAGGCCATATAAGGCTTTGGCAACTTGCATACTTGACCTGGCTCAATTGAATTCAAGCTAAGGGGTACAACCATATAAACATCTTTCCTTTAACTCTCCATGTAAAAAGGCATATTAATATCTAACTATTGTAGTTCCCAATTAAAATCAGAAGCCAAGGAAAGAAGCAACATTATCTGTTATCATTTTGCAACTAGTGAAAATATGTCTAGATAATCAATTCCCTCAATTTGAGTGTACCCCTTTGCAACCAACCTTACCTTATATCTTTCAATGCTTTCATCAGCCTTATATTTTACTTTGAAAATCCATTTGTATCATATGGCAGTCTTGTCCTTTAGTAGGTATGCAGTAACTTAGGTTTATTTTGTCTCTGAACATATCTCATATTGAATAGCCTTCCTCCAATAGCCATGTTTGATTGCTTTTGAGCAAGATCTTGGTTCCAAATGTGAAGATAAAGACATGACAAAAGAAGAGTAGTTAGTGGATAGATTTTTGTAAAACATGATAGTACACAATGGATACTTGATATGAGAGTACTTAGTAGATGTAAAACCTAATAGAACACAATGGATACTTGATATGAGAGGAATTAAGATTGCAATGATAATCCTTTAAGTAACTAGGAGACCTTGTTTTGGTATTTATTTAAGGTATTGGTTTGTTCAATGTGAGTTTGATCTATGTTTGTGTGGTTTTCTTATAAGGTTTTTGCATTATCATGTACACTATTGATGATATCTGTAGAAATAAGAAATGATGGTGGTTCTAAATGTGTGGTTTCAATGACAAGTTATTGATCATGATCTTAGAAATAAATTGATTTTGTTAATCCTTTTGATAAAGAAACATGTGTTCATGAAAAACAACATCCCTGAACACCAAAAGTTTTCTAGTTTGAACATTTAACAAAACATAGCCATTTGCTTCAACTTTAAAACTGGAAAAACACATTCACAAGCTTGCAGATCAAGTTTTTTTTTCCTGTTAATAATAGTGGTGTTAGTAAAACACAGATCCAAAAACTCTAAATTGAAAGAAACTATGCATAATTTTGTACAGAATTTCATGGGAGAGAATAGTTTAAGATATGAGCATCATGTATAAATAACATATGACCTACTTTGGCTAAATTAGATTGTAATACAAGAGCTCAAGCTATATTTAATAAATGACTATGTTTTCTCTTAACTATATTATTGTGCTACGGAGTGTTAACACATGATGTTTGGTGAATTATTCTTTTATTGACATAAAAATTAGACATGAGAAATTTTGTTCCATTATCACTTCTAATCACCTTTATAGCACTTTCAACTATGTTTGAATTAATTTAACAATATTTTGTAAAATCTTTGATGTTTCACATTTATGTTTCAAGAGAAAGAATTAGGTATATCTTGAGTGATCATCTACAATAGTAAAAAAATATTTGTATAACCATGAATGAATGATATGGAATATGGACAAATTTGGAATATAAAATCAAAAAACTTGACAAATTTGTAAATACTAATAGGAAAAGACAATCTCTTTTGTTTAGCATAATGATAAACATCAAAAACATAAGTTTTATCATGTTTAACAAAGGAAAAATTGTTTTTGATAACATTAATACATTTATTTGAAACATGTCCCAAACAAAAATGTTAAAGAGTTTCATGATCACTACTAGTAAAATGGACAGTATGTATGGTGATTTTGAAGGCTTGTGAGATGAAAAACTTTGGTATAAAGGCACTCAGATCACATAAAGTCTATCATACATTGTAGTTGAACCAATCATCGTCAATAAATTATTGTCCCAAATATGGCAATAAATAGAATCAAAGATGAGAACACAAGACTAGTTACTTATAAATTTGGGTATGGATAACAAATTAAAGGAAAAATAACAAATGTAAAAACATTGCGTATGACATTGTTTTGACTAAAATAAACTCTGCTAGAATAATTTGCTACAATTTTATTTTCATTTGAAAGTTTGATGTACATAGTTTAGATTGGTAAAAAGAAGTGAAATAAAGATATGTGGTTAGTAGCACCGCTATCAAGTATCCAAATTGATAAAGGGAATGTTTTACCATTATGTGCAAACTCTATGTGATTGGTTGAAGTAGATTGTAACACCTTAATTTAATTTAAATTTAATAATAATTTTGCAAATTAGAATAACCAATTTTTTTTCATAAAATACTTCCAAACAAGGGAAGGGTTACAAATTAATATCAAATGACTGCTACAAGACTACTTCAGTTACAACAATTTCAAAATAAAAGCTAAGTCCTATAGCAGTCCATCCATCCCTTCACTGAGTCCGGTGCTGATCGTCTTGATTACCTAAAAGATGAATGTAAGGGTGAGTACTCTATACTACCTAAAAACACACAATCAACGTAGTCTCACCTCTAGAACATTTCCAATACATTAAACAAACACAATCATAAGCAACATTATCACATAACCCATGTCAATTTAACACCGATGCGCTCACAGCATCGGCAACATTTCACATTCATAAGTACAATACATAAATCCATGCATATGCACGCTAGCCACATTTATTGTGGCACTATGATCACAGATTTTTACTATGAATGGTCGCCGGTTACCCCTGCCTCACGTATACCACGTGGGCAGTCACGGGTCGTTTAGCAAAGATAATAGTTAAAGGTCTAGTCAGGAAAAGAGTGTGTGGCCCGTGGTGCACCCGTTCCGCAGTCGGTGTCACCACCACTCCCTCTTCCCCAAGGTATTTCTACCGTCCTCATCTCCCACATCCCCAGTGTATTGTTGAATCATTCACAGCACATTACAACGGCGCTAACACGCCCATTCACATATATTTCATTCACGCATGCAATAATCATGCTTACACACAGCACACAGCCCACATGACACTCAAATACACGGCACTAGGCCCACATTCATTTCACATTACACGACACATAGCCCACATTTATTTACAATATCATTAATTCACCAATC